CTGATCAACGGATATCCCATTGCAGCTGTGAGACCTATTTTAAACTATTATTTTGCAAAATTTAATTTAAATTCATTGATTTAAATTTTAAACAATATTAAAATATATTGTTGGAATTTTAAAATGAAACCAGAACTGTTTTTATATTTTGTTGTTATAATGAAAGCATGGTTATCACTAGCTTTAGTTGATCATTCAATTTATTGAATCAAATTTGTATAAATATATATATGTAAATTTATACGTATATTATTTGTTATCTTTTACCAAACATTTTTGGTAGGCTGAGAAGACCGTCAATGAAATTTTGATACCAAAAAAAAGTGTTGGAAACCAGCAAATCATCTCAGTACCAACAAGTGCAGCCATTTTCAGAATAATAGCTTTATCCTCCGGTCGTTTAGGCTGATCTGGATCTCGAAGAATTGTCAAGATGAATGTATAACTGATTGCCATTCCCAAAAATGCTAGTATATTGAATATAAGACTCGTTATTATATATGCCTATAATTATCCTTCCAATTATTATTACTTCTGCTAGATGAAATCTGTTTCAGTACATTGCAGTGAGTAGAAAATCGTTTGGATGAAGGAGGAAATAAGTTACGTCTATTTTGTAGACGTAACTTGCTTGATTAGCTTTAGTAAGCTAAATCTTTTTTAAATAAAGTTATCTTGCGCAGGAAGTTTATTTGGCTTCTATCAAATTTGTTTTTATAATTTTCAATTACTTCACTTACACTAAGTTTTTAGAATTATTACGTGAATTTAAAAAATTGAATAAATTAAACAAGAAAATACTCAATACCCGATCAAATTTACTTTCAATCGACAAAGGTAAACAAATACTCGAACTACTATAAGTTGAAACGCCAATAATTGGTAATATTGCCATTGTAAATGCTATGACGTACGCTACGCTCATCATTAAAACAGCTATTCTCATACGTAATCGTTTTCCGTAAAATGCATTCCTTAATAAATAATTAAATAATGTATTATTTATATATGGCTATTATAAAACACGATGACACGTATTCATTTCACTTTTTTTTGTTTGCAAATTTTTTAATTAAATATACGAAAATTTTTTCCTCTCAAATCTTCAACTGTTTACGTATTGTTTAATATTTGCAAATATTAGTTACTTTTTTTGAATATTACGGCAAAAAAATATTTGATCCAATACTTGTATCAAAACCAATACTAATTATTTTAATATCGCCATATATGTCAAAGGTCATTCAATATTTTGCATATAAGTATTTTTTGCGACAATTACATTGCAAAAAAGCCTAGTATAAAATTTAGATCAAAAATATTCTGTCATTTTTTTGAGTGAAAAATTGCTTTTAATATCAAAAAATGATATAAAATGCAAATTTGCATAAGTAACTGCACTTAATATTGTATTGAAGTTTAAATTAAATTCAATACTTATACATATTTACCTTTTTTACTATCAAATATGTAGCAAAAATTGATCTCAAGGTTAAAATTATTTAATTAGTAATTAACAAGTTATACCTAATATTGTAACACATGTCAAAAGCAATTAGAAACATAGACATAATTGATATTTCAGATCCAAAAACAGATATAAAGCCAACAATATTACAACCAATCCCAGTTTGCCAAGCAACTGCATAATTATAATATTCATTAGCTGTCTTGTAATCAGCTATTGCTAATATACCAAGGTAAACACCTGAAAATATCCTGTGATACTGTTACTAATACAAAAATCGCATATTGACGTACGTGAGCGATGAATGAGTTTGCGGTAACTTTATTACATAATTTGACACAAATTATTGAGAAGCTGTATAAAGTTAACAAAATTGTAAAATGAATGCATATTTTCAAAATGGAAATGCAAAAGTAGGCAATCTTTGCTTAAGAATAATAACACTAATCTTTGAGCAAGATTAACCTTCAAGTAAAACTTGATCTAGTCCTGACCTGTAAGCAAATCTGCGGTTGATAAATTAGCCATGAAAAAGTAATGTACTTGCATACGTTTTTGTCGCATTTGTGACAGAACAATCCATACTCCAATATTTCCAACAATTGCTGAAATCCATACAAACCAAATTATCCAGCGGAGAAAATCAAATCTGCAAAATAATTACTATCATACTGCAATAAACTAAGCTTTAATTATACAATAACTGTTCCTAATTGTATGGTATTTATTATACGATAATTGTGTGGCATTCTTTATTTGCTTGACTATGGTATCTTCAAATAAAATATAATACGCTTCGGTATGAAATAATTTGACAGTTGTTACTGTATTATCAATATGCTTTGTACTGTACAGCATAATGTATGACAGTCTTAAAAAAGTTTCAACTATGCTAAAATTGATTTTGCTAGATAGTACTCCTTTATACTAGTTATTATCAGCATTATGCACATTTAATTCATGCGCACTTTATGTACAATTTTCACCGTAATAGATTGCATAGTTTTAATAATAATATACACTTTATGCTAAGATTAGATCTGACTATGTTTAATCATTTTTAGCCTTAGTCATCATCTTACAATAAGCGCGCACTATCAAAAAAGGTACAGTACTTTACCCAATAACGTCTTCGCAAGGATTAAGCGCATTCGGCATCGGCGTGCATTGTATAGAAGCAAAAAATTCACTAACAGCATTTGAGGTGCAATTTAATGTTGTCAAACGTCCAATATCGCTATCTTGAAATTCTGGTTCTAACTGATCGAGATCACCATCTATCTTAAACTAAACGTTTTAGTAAATTACGTGACAAGCGTGATAAATAATACTCACAAGTTCATCGTAGTACAAATACCTTTTTCAATAAATAATATATTCAATGTTTACCTCAATGGTAATATTTCCTTCGTTTACAGAATCAAACCAACGAAGAAGATCAGAAAAATCTAATGGATTTTCACGTGAATCTTGCGTTAATAACAATGAATGGTCGCTATGTGTGATATGTCGTCGTAAACGTTTTAATTTTTCAACTAGTTTAATGGAACATTCTCGATTTTTAATCTCTTCCAAATTTTTCGTAAATTCTTTACCAGCTGTGCTGATCTCTTTTGAAGCATACTGTAATGTGCAGAAAGAATTTTTAAATTAATTAGCTAACTAAACTAAATACTATTGAGTTACAGTAACAGAATGAGCTTGTTGATTTTCTTAGCTTAAAAATGACCAAAAGCATTTTATTCTTTTCTTTAAACAATAAATTTTACAATACAATTAAGAGTCTGAAAAAATTATAGTTATAATACTTACTTTAAATAAGCAGCAGTGATAAGGATAAGTGAATTCAACTTTTTTGAGTGATGTAAACGCTAAAATTGGTGGAAGTTTTTTTAATTCTTCAATATCTTCTAATTTCAAACTTTCTAATCGAGAAAGCCCATTTGTTGGAAGTTCACTGATTCCTGTACGTGAAAGATCCCTTAAGTTAATTATGATAATACTAACTTAATTTTTTCTTATCAGTATAATATGATGCTAAAAAGAGTACATGCATAGCATATTTTGTCGTAAAAAATCAAGTAAAAATTTTTTTTTTTAAATTACTTACATTTTCAAAAATTTTTTCATATATTTTGAAATACATTATATAAAAAATTACAGTTTTAAAAATGCTTTTGATTATAAATAAACTTACAAACGTTTAATAAATGAAATATCAGCAAACGTGTCAATTGACAATCGTCTCAGTTCCAAATTATCATTGAGTTGCCTTCAAAAAAAATTTTAATCATTTAATATTAATTTTAAAATTATTTTCAATGCAATAAAGAATATAATTAAAATCAAATATATTTTATATCAATTATAATTAAGTTATATGCGAAAATTAAAACTAACCTACACATTTTATTTATATATAAATTAAATATATAATTTTTAACGATTAAAAATTAATTTTAAAACTATTTTTATTGCAATAAAAAATGCTTTTAATCATAATTTAAGTTTATTTCCTCACAACTGTGTCATATTTGTTAACAAATAAATAATACAGTAAGACTGACACTAAGCTAATTATTGGAAAATAAAAATTTGTGATCAGCTCTTTTTTTTTATTCGTGAAAAAAATTTGCATAAAAAACATACAGCAAAGAAAATTGACAGTAAGCAAAAACATGACTTCCAATTTCTCGTAAATTATTATTATTAAGTCGAATTTTATTAGCATGAACAGCTCGAAGTTGGCCATCTCCAAGATATTCAATATGGTTGTATGAAAAATCAACAACTTCCATCGCTAAACGGTGTTTTGTTGTCATTTCCAATGTTGGCATACGTACCAAACCATTATTATTCATTATCCGGAAAGATATTGAAATTTGCATACATCTTTCCTTCTTTTAATCCATTAATTAATTTATAATATTTGAATTTTTCGATTATTTATTTATTTTTTTCACTCAAAGGATTAATATTTTATTACGAACATTAATTAATTAATTAAGTAAGTAATTACGATGTAACTTTTAGAAGAAATATTTTGTGAATTTGTTACTGCTTACAATGTTAAGATTTTGGTGTTGTTGATGAGTAGAATGCCTGTTACTTCCTTCAAATTTTTACA